GTCCAGTCCTGAAGAAGGGTAATACCCAAAACGTTGACTGCTCCTTTCCCCAGATGCTGCCTGGCCTGTTGTGTTCTTCTAGCCTCCCGTTTGTCTACCTTGGATTCCAGCATCTGTAGTTTTTTTTGTCTTTAATATATATTGTGAATAGCTGGGGTCCTCGTAAAAATCCCTGTAGTACCCCACTTGTCACTGCCTGCCATTTAGAAAAAGACCATTTATTCCTACTCTTTGTTTCCTGCCTGCTAATCAATTTTCTAACCCTCTCAATACACTAGCTCCAATTCCATGTGCTTTAGTTTTGCACATTAATCTCTTACGTGGGGCTTCTGAAAGTCCAAATAAACCACATCCGTTGGCTTCCCCCGATCAACTCCATTAGTTACATCCTCGAGAAATTCCAGTAGGTTTGTCAAGCATGTTTCCCTTTTGTAAATCCATGCTGACTATGACTGATTCTACCACTGTTTTCTAAGTACTCTGCTATAAAATCCTTGATAATGGACTTTAGCATCTTTCCCACTTCCGATGTCAGACTCACTCATTTATAATTCCCTGTTTTCTGCCTCCCTCCCTTTTTAAATATTGGGGTACATGAGCTATCCTTCAATCTGGAGAAAAAGTCTAAAGAAACTTAGAAGATGGCCACCAATGCACCCATGGTCTCTAAGGCCACTTCCTTAAGTGCTCTAGGATGTAAATTATCAGGCCTTTGGGATTTATCAGCCTTCAACCCCATCAATTTCTCCACTAACACAGATTTTATTCCGTTCCTCCCTGTCATTAAACCTTGTATTCCCGATCATTCCTAGTTTGCTATTTGTATCTTCCTTTGTGAAGACAGAACAGAGTGTGAATTTAGTTCAGAAATCAGACATCAAGTTATAATCCAACAGGTTTATTTGAAATCACAAGTTTTCGGAGCAGCGTTTTCAAATAAACCTGTTGGACTATAACCTGGTGTTGTCTGATTTCTGACCTTGTCCACCCCAGTTCAACACCGGCTCCTCCATATCATGAATTTAGTTCATTAGCCATCTCTTTATTCCCCGTTTCTGGCTGTAAGGGACTTACATTAGTTTTCAGCTTAAAGGAAATTCTGTTTAGGGCGAACGGTAGGAGAAACTAAATAGCAAAAGATTTGATGGTGACAAGACCAAAGTGTACAATTTTGGTCACCCTTACTTGAGGAAGGATGTAAACGAGACAGTTCAGAGAAGGTTCACTAGATTATTTCCAGAGATGAAAGATTTGTTTTATGAAGAGAGATTAAGCAGTTTAGGTCTGTAATCTCTGGAGTTTAGAAGAATGAGAGGAGATTAATTGAGGGATATAAGATGCTAAAAGGGGATTGACAAAGTTAATGCTGAGTGGATATTTCCTCTTGTGGGGCAATCTAGAACTAGAGATTATAGTTTTAGGATAAAGGGTGGCAAATTTAAAACAGCAATGAGGGGAAATTACTGCTCTCAAAGGGTCGTGAATCTGTGAATTCACTCCCTCAGAGTGCAGTGGATGCTAGTGTATTGAGTAAATTTATGCAGGATATGGACAGATTTTTAATTAGTAATGGGTTGAAGGGTTATGGAGAGAGGGCAGGAAAGTGGATTGAAGGCGAGGTGAGATTAGCCATGATTGTATTAAATGGAGGTGCAGGTTTGAACGATTGAATGGCCCATACCCGCTCCTGGTTCTGATGTTCTTAAAGTGAGTGACAATAGGCACAGTAAAGAGACAAAAGATATGTCCAAATGAGGTGTGAAGTGCATGTAATGACATAGAACATAATTTAGAACAACATGAGACAAACATGAAACTATGGAGCTTGTAACAAGACAGTGCAATAATTGTGTGACACTTGGAGAAGCATAATACTTTTTACAAGTTGTGAAAATATAAATGTTGATGTTCCAAGAGCCTTGGGTGAACTCAATACAAGTAACACAGGAGCTGCGCGTGCAGGTACTGTAAGCAATAAGAAAGGAAAATGGCACGAGAATAAAGAGCTCTGGCTAAAATAGTGCAGGGATTTGATGCGATCAGCCCTAGAATATGGAGTCAGCTTCGGTCTCTGTGTTTCAGGAAGGATACACTTGAATGTGGGACAGCAAAGGGTCACTAGATTGGTCCCTGAGATGTGAGACTGAGTCAGTTTGGTCCATGTTCTCTGGGCTGTACTGTCAATTAAATATTTTGAAATGTGGTCTCAGTTGTAATTTAGGAAGCGCAGGAGCTCAGCTGTGAACAGCAAGATCCCACAACCAGCAACCACATTACTGATACCACATACTGACATTAAGCATAAATATTGGCCCTGTCACAGGGAAATTGTTTTCCAATTAGCACCATGGGATCTTTCTCACTCTCTGAAGCTTTATAATGTCATCTGAAAGAAGGTACCTCTGACAGCACAGCACTCCCTCGGTACTGCACTGAAGGTGTTCCCCTGGGGTTTGCTGGGTTTAGGGTGAGAATAGGCACCCACTGAACATGCCTGACACCTGAACATACATATGGTGTCACCGGACGTGTCTGTGGTGAATCTTTGATCTCCAACTGCGAGGGTTAATGATCTTGCTAGAGGAAGCCTCATTGATGACGTTACCTAGCATGGTGACGAAATGTCTGAACAAAACAAGCCAGCTCGGTGAACAATTCAACAACCTCACCCACAACCTGAGCTACAGATCTTTGCTAAAAGCTTAAATCTCACTAGAATGACGATGCTCAGATCATCCCCGTTTTGCGGCTGTTTATATTTAGAACACAAAATCGGACGGGTCTGTCCCACTTGTTCCAGCATTCGTCCCTTTCTGAGACCTGGTGGCCTTGGACCAGAATGTTATCCCTTTCACCATTCACTCCAGAGTTGCCAACACTGGTTGAATTTAGTCCTGGAGACTTCATCTCATGACCTATTGCCCCTAACTGTCCCATCCTCCCAGCATTGGTCACCCAACTCAATTACCCTCATGGCCTCAACTACCTGTGGCCAATCAGGGGACTTCTGGGAACTTGAGGTCAATCCTGAAGACTCAGCCACCCATTGACCAGAGTCTTACCAAGCACAAGTTTCTCGTTTTCCTCCTGACTTGAAAATATTGACTCCTGGACCATCATTCCTCCTGGTGCTTTAATGAAAGTAAAATGCTGCAGATATTGGCAATCTGAAATAAAAACAGAAAGAGCTGGAGAACCTCAGCAGGTCTAGCAGCATCTATGGAGAGAGAAACCAAGTTAACATTTTGAGTCCAATTCTCTTCTTCAAAACTGATGGAGGCTAGAAAATGATGATATTTTTGATTTGGCAAAGGGAAAGGAGGAGTGACTGGAACAGATGATGAAGATGCTCAGAGCAAAAGACTAAAAAGGTGCTAATGTTGATATTAAACGAAAGATAGAGATGCAGAATAGGTATTAATGGTAGGTGTGAACTGTAGAAAATAGTTTAGAAGCAAATAGCTCAGCAGGTCTGGCAGCATCCATGGAGAGAAATCAGAGTGAACATTTATTTTAAAAATAGTTTAGCTATGCTAAGAGCAAATTCATGCAATGAGAAGTTTTGGCACTTTGCCTGTGCAGCTATTACTTATGCACAATGTAGCCCAAAGTGATCCCACACCTGAAGCTGATCTTCTCCTGATTTGTGTTTTCCAGTTTGGATTTAGTGGACAGTGAGCAAGAGCATGTGATCTGGCTCGTTATGTTATCTCTTTCAAGTCCAGCAGTGCTGAGGCTCAGTGCAACATCTATTGGCTGCTAGGCCTCAAGCTGTCTAAAGCCTAAACCCACTGGAATTCTCCCCTTAAACCTCTCCATCTTCCGATCTCTGTCTCTGCTCATTTTGGAGACTCTTGTAAATGTACCTGTCTGAGGGATCTGCATTATCTGGTGCTTTAAGCCAGTATAGAATACAGATCTTGGGTACCACTGGCCTGTGGGTGTTCACACATATACACTGTCCCTGAGGCTGTTTACTCCTTGTTATTCATTAAGAATCCTGCTGCACTGCATGCTGCCTCAGTAGTTAGCACTGCTGCCTCTCAGCACCAGGGACCCGGGTTCAATTCTAACCTTTCATCCTCCCCGTGTCTGCGTTTCATTTGCTCCAGTTTCCTCCCACAGTCCAAATGATGTGCAGGTTAGATGGATTGGCCGTGGGAAATATAGGGATAGGGCAGGGGCGTAGGTCTGGGTGGGATGCTGTTCGATGGGCTGAATGGCCTGCTTTCACACTGTAGGAATTCTATGATTCAATGCTCTAATAACAGTGTGGACGCTCTAGTGTTAGTGATGCTGACGTACCCATTCTCAACTGGAGTCTTCTTTCTTACTAATGTCAGACACATCATCATTCTGTTGACTTCAGTATCATCGCAGTTCAAAGTCATTTCACACCTACAGTTCCTGGGGATGTTGTAGGAGTCTTTTGTGAGGGGCAGGAATGGGTGGTTATTGGTGCGAGGGCGGGGGAGGGATGCGGGAAGTAGGGGAGGGTGTGGGGAAAGGGTGTTGGGGGAAGGGATCAGGGAGAGTGTTGGCGTGTGAGGGTGGGTGCAGGGGATATGAGGGAGGATGTGTGTGGGGTGTGAGGGGAGGGGATTGGGGAGGGTGCCATGGAGGGTGGGGGTTGGGGATATGTGAGGGGATCAGGGAGGTTGTGGGTGAGGGTTTAGGGGAGAGGTGAGGAGATCAGGTAGGTGTAGGTGAGGGTTTCGAGCAGTGGTGAGGGGATCAGGGATTTGCGGGTGAGGGTTTAGGGCAGTGGTGAGGGG